TATATATGACATATATGACATGATCCTATGAATTTGTCTCTATGAAAATTCCTCTCTTTTTTGTGCTTACGGAAATCTATGTATATATGACATGATCCTATGAATTTGTCTCTATGAAAATTCCTCTCTTTTTTGTGCTTACATTCATAAAGGAAATCTATCCTCCCCATGGCAACAGCAGTGATCACATATATATTACACATGTAGATATTAATCTGTCTTTTTTTTGTGAGATATTTGATTATATTTCCTGCTGTGTTTTTTCACACTGCAGGCAGTTTTTCATGAAATCCTCAGTCTGGCTGACGGTGGCCGCGGTTCAGGTTATTGTCGGGTCTCTGTGTCAAAGCCACACAGTAAATCTGCAGAAATGAAAGCTCTTGCCGCTTATTTACATGTCTCTGAACTGATCACAGGCAGATTTATGTGAACACAGCGGCTGATTTATTGCAGCATGAATGCTCAAGATATTTGCTCTGCTTTAGTCTGGATGCAGTCGGCCGTGTGAGAATGACTTTAAAATTCCAATTCATTTTCTGAACTGCATATATTGTTAGTTATTTAAAAAAAAAATTTTTTTTTAAATACAACAAATGGCCTATTTCAAAAATATTGGAAGATATTAATAATATCTGAAATGGAAATGTGTATTTAATTTATAAACTTTCATTCTACGGATGAAGTAATTTACCCTAAATTACACAAAATATATAACACAGATGCAAAATACGGGCCATTTGCAGAAATATTACACAATGTTAATAAAAATCATTGTAAAACTTTACAATAAGGTCTCATTAGTTAACATTAGTTAATGCATTAATTAACATTAACAATGAGCAATACATTTGTTACAATATTTATTAACGCGAGTTAATAAATAATACAACTGTTCATTGTTTGTTCAGGTCCATTAAATAATACAATACAAAAAAACCAGATACAGATAAAACAGATACAATTTTTTTTATTTTAATGAAGTATTAGTAAATGTTGAAATGAACATGAACAAAGATTAATAAATGCTTTAGAAGTTGTCTCTTTGATAGTTCATGTAGTTAAATAATGTTAACAAATGTTATTGTAAAGTGTTACCTAATTATATTTAAAATGACACATATAGAAAAATGTATTTAATTTAAACGCATTATATTTAATTATCAAACATTTTATTGATGTAATTTCATTTATTCTGCCTATATATATTTATGTAGGAAATAAATGTGACATTTTGTGCTGTATGGAAAAATTACATATTGTTTTATTATCAAATTATTTTGACAGTATTGGACTAAGCTCAGAGAATCCGTTGAGAAACAATTCTAAAAATCATGGGAGTATATAAGCATTATCGATGCATTTATTTTAATAAAATAATAATTGTAATAATATTTTAATTTGTAATTTTTTAAAATAAAAATCCTCTATTAAACTCCAATTCAAACTCCACTTCAGTATTAAGGAGCAACACCAATTCAACTCGAGCAGCCTCAGGAACTGAAAGAAAGCCAGTTGTTAAATTCAGTAAGTATAATGTGTGTTTGAGGGGATGAAGCGCTCCAGAGATTCAGCGCGACGCAGCCACGGAAGAAGAATCCAGCACAATGAGTGTCTCCCTTGCCCAAGCTGTCAATGATTTATAAATGAGAAGCCTTCGCTTGGCTCTCTGTAATTCCCTCCAGAACGACTGAAAGAGAATTGAGCTTTCATTACAGCAGCCACTCCGGCCAAACCACAGCCGTCTGAGAACCATTTCAAGGTGAAGGGTGTCATTTTTATGAATCTTATACCCAAAATGTCCATTAAAGGGGTTTTTTTTTTTTTTTTTTTTTGCAAATACATATTTTTATTGACAACAGTGCAGCCCACTGAACAAACTGTAGGTCCGTCCCTAAAAAGCCGAGTTTTCATTCCTGCAACATTAAATATGGCATCTACCCTGACTTAAGACCATGTTAAAGTGTATGGATTTTGATCAAAAGTACTTTTGAATCCGTCTCCACTGAGACAGCCAGCTCTATCCATCCCAATCTGAGAAAAACAGGAGTGATCATGAGTTAATAGTTCTTTCTTAACAGAAAATCAATAGAAGACATTCTCAAAACTCGACCTGAAGCGCTGAATGAATGACGTCCTCTCGTAATCAAGCATTTTCAGACCTTTCCTTGATTTGCGAGAGTAAACGCAAAACTAGTGTTAAATATCTCTTATATCCTGTGTGCTTAGAGCGAGTGATTCTAGAAATACATACTAGCCACGTACACACTGAAGCAACATAGGGATTATTGGATGTGGTTTTCTGAAATGGAACATTGTTGAAGTTGAACCTTTAGAGAAAATATAAAAAATATAAATAGATTTAAATGGATGGATTGGAACATCCATTTAACGAAAGAATTATTAGCGAACAATGATGTTAACATTTAAAAATTTTAGCAAACCACCTGTTTTTAGTCCCTCCATGTTTGTCATTAGACAAGTGACGTCTGCATGAACTATTTGTTATTATTAGACTGATTTGTAAAAGTGGTTGTCACTATCTAATCTTTCCAGATGTAAAACACATTTGTCACTTCCAAATAAACACATTAAGACCACGATGAAGCAGTCAGAAGTGGAGTGACAACTGAATTAGCTGCAGTGTGAACGTGGTCTCGCATGACATTACACTCGTAAGAAAACCAGACAGTAAATGTTTGTGGCATTGGTTCTAAAACATAAAAAAAAAATACTAAAATGATGTCAGTTTGTCAATTTGTATAAAAAGAAAGAAAAATCAAAAACCAACATAGTAGTCTCATGCACACTCTGACTGACTATTCATGACTGACAACAAATGAGAAATGATTGCAATATCGATTTAAAATGTTTGGTCATTAGCAAGTGACGTCACTGCATAAAAAAACGTGTTATTATTAGACTGATTTGTAAAAGTGGTTGTCATTATATGATGTAAAAATTTGTCACTTTCAAAAACAAAGAGAGAAGAAGTGGAGTGACATCTGAATTAGCTGCAGTGTGAACGTGGCCTCTGATATGGCATTACACTTCTAAGACTCGCAAGAAAACCAGACGTTTGTAGCATTGGGTCTAAATCATCAAAAAAATACTACAATTATGTCAGTTTGACAAAATACATTAAAAGGCTTGTATAGAAATAAAGAAAAAACAATAAACTTTGGGCCAATTTGTGGAAAACCTACATAATAGCCACATAAACTCTGGCTGACAAAAAAACAGAAATGGATTGCAACATCTATTTGAAATGTTTGCTGTTTTAAAGAAAGAAACAGTGAGTGGAGATTAGAATGGGTATGAACATTCTGAATTTTTTTTTTTATTTCAAACCACCGTAAACAGATTTGGTGTTTTAAGCCCCTCCACGCTTGTCATTAGAAAAGTGGCATCGCTGCATTAACAAGTAGTTATATTATTAATTTGAATTGTAAAAGTGGTTGTCATTTGAAGCAGATGAAGCAGTCAGAAGTGGAGTGACATCTGAATTAGCTGCAGTGTGAATGTGGCCTCTGATATGGCATTACACTTGTAAGACTCGCAAGAAAACCAGACAGAGAACGAGATGTTTGTGGAATTGGGTCTAAATCATCAAAAAATACTACAATTATGTCAGTTTGACAAAACACACCAAAAGGCTTTTATAGAAATAAAAGGGGGAAAAAAAACTTTGGGCCAATTTGTGGAACACCTACATTTGAATCCAAATATAAGCAGCATGAACAAGGTGTATTTGCATTCATACAAAACCCCTTTGGGCTCCCAGATATGGTCCATCTGAAAGCTCAGGCACTGTGATGTTGTGCACGGTGTTTTGCACGCTCGACTTCTCCACAGGACGTCATCCTACTTCTTCAAGAGGGGCGTAACGCTTGTCGAAGGCGAACTGAATAAACATGCATGGCTGGACCGCGGGCGACCCTTCCAGCCAGGCGTATTGCACATCTAACATGGAGAGGTCTGATCCAGAGGTTAAACCGACACGCGGTAGTCTATATTCTGACTGCATGTGGATGTGAGTGTGGCTGCCTGGCTTTGGCAAAGTTGCCATGGTCACCGTTGTCATTGGCAAAGCATTATAAGAGGGGGTGTGGAAGACAGAAAGCTGCCAATATTGGCGCGTCTTTGTGTTGTGCTATACTCAGCCAAAAAATGTCAATGTGGTCTGGAATCAAACCTCTTGCTTTCATATATCAATAGTGGCAACCTCTAACAGATGGATCTTCATCGAGCACAACACCTTCCCCCAATCTTGATGCGCTCCCTCCCTGAGGGTTTCCGTGCCCCCGTTTTTATCCCTGTTGATCTGGGTTTTTTTCGGATGCCGTTTCCTATCCCCGTTCAGAGGGAAAGGGTTTCTAAGCTTCGTCAGAGTCTCTCGATGTCTCTGTACTTTTTGCGCAGTATCGATACCTGGTCCTTGAACAGAACGGGATCCAGTCTCATCTGCGAATGGACCAGGGACATGGTGCCAAACCAGCTGGCAAATTTGTTCATGCACGTCTGCCGCTGGGCAAAGTGGTCAGGATCTGCCCAACGTGATGCCCGGGACGTCTGCGAATGAAAGACAGAGTTAATTAGCCGCCATATCCACCTTATCTTTAACTTTAAGAGCGGATGCGATCATTTGTAACCTGAAAGTGCAATACATCTGGTGTCATTTGCTTCTTGTTATTTTACCTGCACAAACCCGTTATGCTGCTTGAAATGATTTTATATTATCACAATCATGAACACACTGGTCTGTAGCAAACAGTTTTACCGTTTACTGCACTGTTATTCTTCTAGTTATCTACCTATAGCGGCTAATGAATCAGAAAATGCCTTGCTGTGGTGTTGCAAAACTATGTGGATAACAGACGCTCTCTCTCTTAATGCTTGTGTATCAATGTTAAACCAGATCGACGCAACTGCATATAATGTATAATGGATAAAGGATAAAAACAAAAATTCTAATTCAAACAAAAAATGGCTTGTACTTTGCTTTTAACCTAAATCTGACTTGTAAACAACAACAAAAATACATTATATTTAGACATTGGCTATTCAAGATAGGCTATTGGCTATTAAAAAGACATTTTAATGTTTTAATTATTTTACATAGAAATATTTAATTACATATTATTTTACATATAAAATAAAATCTTTTGATGTTGATGTGAAATATAATCCAGGCATGATCTTGACAGGGTTACTATAGTTAACTAAAAATAAAAATAAAAACAATCAAACAAACATTTTTTAATAACTTGAAATAAAATTAGCATTACCTGAAATAAAATAAAATATAAAACACTTAAACTTATTTTAGCAAGTTGCCAAGGCAACATTTCTCACTTTTATTTAGTTTAATTAATTAAAACTGAAATTGAAATAAAAATGAATAAAAAAAACACATAACACAATTACTAAAACTAAAATGAAAATAAAAATGGAATATTTAAAAATAAAAATTAATTCAAAATATTTATAAAAACTATAATATTGATATTAAAATAACACTGGTTCTTGACAGGTTTCGTGAGATTTTGGATTTGCAGAAAGTGCTGAGGGAATTCACTGAACACATTCAAAATAACAGACTATCTTAATATGAGAATAGCAGAAGCTGTTGGAGGAAGCTGAAGTATTTCCTCAAGTCATTATAAGCTATTTTTGGGAGGGGAAAACAGTGTTGCACTTGTCTCAACCCTTCCCCAGAATTCCAGATTTAACTCTGCAGGAAATACTAGCACTCAAACAGCTGAACATACGAGGTGAATACCTGAAACTGAGAACGGCGACAATTACATTGATTTAATGCAGTTTGTACCTGTCCCATCATCGTCTCCTTGTACTGCTTCTTTTGGGTGACCTTGATAGGAGGCATCTTAGTGACAGCAGACACCAGGAAGTTCATGAGGATGTCTTCACAGTTTGAGAGCTGGTCAACCATACTCTTTAAGCTGCTGGGCAGGTAGTGTGTATACAAGTAGTTATAATACCTGGAGTAAGAAAAGACAGCCTGTTAAATGCCTTTATAAAACTTGTCAACCATGATGAATCACTAACAGTAGTGAGCTGCCCGCCTAGGGAACATGTGGGTGCTTAGACAGTTTCAGCAGTACAGGAGGTTGGCAGCTCATTCCACCACAGATGAGCAGAGAGGGTGAAGGTTCTGGAAAGTGACTTCGTGCTTCCTTGTGAAGGGAACTTACCTGTGGTAGAAAGCAGCTCCAGTCAGCACCATGGAGTAGTCATTGGTCCACTTGGAGGTGTAGCCCCAGCGCTCCTTGTTAGGGTCCCAAAAATGGCTCCGTGCGGGGTATCCCACAATCCTCTCTGGGAAACTCTGCCAAACTGTAAAGGCAAAATCCACCTGCAGAAACAAGAATTATTTAATAAGTACTCAACCATTCACACATAAACCCTAAGATTTGTCACTGTGTTGAACAATTTAAACTGTTTCCAAAAGCTCAGACACAAACAAGATTTCAGAAATATTTAACTCAGAATTCAGTCCTGCATAAAAAGAGTAAAACTCAAGTTAGTGGTCAACCAATGCGGCAGATATTGTTATTTAGAGAGCAGGGTGACTGATAAGCAATTTATTGCTGAAAATACAATTTAAAGCTCAATTTTTTGTTTGAAATTAAAATGTAACAAATTTTGTTTGTTGCAAATTACAAGTTACAATTTTAGTGTATTTGCCAATAAATAGCCTTGTTAAGTAGGGATGCACCGATACCACTTTTTTCAGAACGAGTCCGATACCGATACTTTCATTTTTGGTACTCGCCGATACCGATACCTGTATTGTTTTGTTTGTTACAGAAACAAAATAATAATAATAATAATATGAATCATGTTAGTTGGCTTCATTTAGCAAAAATATATTACCTTCAGTTATTTCCACACTTAATTATTCTTAATTATTTAAGCTTTTGTTACTTTCACTGTTCATTTTAATGGCGCATTAGAGGTGCTCCATTGCAGCAGCTCAATACTGTAATCACAAAATGTTTTCCTAAAATAATGCAGGGAGTGTCTCTACATTATACGAGTGCACACGTACTATTTTGGTGATGTAATTTGCGTCACGTGCATTGTACACGGACCCTCGCGTACGAGTAAAAACCGAAGTATACTTTGGCCTTAAAGCAAGCTAAACATACGCAGTGCGCACATGTTTGTTTTGGTGCAGTATGAGAGAGACACTTACAGCCTAGCGCATTTCACCCAGTCTGCTAGTTTCACTTCTGCTTTAAATAAAGTTGTGTATGCTTGACGTTTAAAATAAATGCTGCGCCTATAAAAGGGTGAAAATAAATGATGTTTATAGTGAATGCCCCTATAAATTGTCTTATATTTACGATTTAGTTTTAATCCAAATGCATGCGCTAATGGAGCGAACAGCAATCAAGATCATGCAACAGAAGTGTCGCGCTCTCTCGCTCTCGCTCTCCTTACCGTCAAATAACTTGAGTTAAAAAATTACTGTTTGTAATTGTTTTACTTACTTGCTTTTGACATATCTGACCGAACTACAAACTTTCCAGTGATGTCTGTGAGATATTCACTCGACAAGCTCGCACATCTGTGCAGCCGCGCGCTCAATCCACTCAGCGCGCTCTGCTTATCAGCTCGGGCACATCCGCTATACAGGCGTGAATATTGAATGTTTAACATTATATTAATTACTTACATGTACTTCATAGACATCCTTAATCTCTAATAACTCCATTCTACTCTCTGTTGTTCTGTTTTCAGTGTT